CTCCCTGCTGGAAACCCCTGCCCCCCCCCCCCCGCTGCAACTTCAGTGCCACCTCGTTCAAGGAGGCTGCTCGGAGTAGGATAGCGCTTGAGATGGCGAGTCGGAAGCGAAGAGGGGTTTAGCTGCCTGGACTCCAAAGGCCAGGAATGATAACAAGGCCTACTCTGCCTTCTCTGGGCAGGGGCATAAAAGCAGAGCCCTTAGCTGGATGGAGAGCAGGCAGAGGCCGGCAAGGGCTCACCGAGGGCAGGCCCCCGGGGGCCGGCCGCTGTCTGCCCGCCCTGCTCTTCCCAGCCGGTCCCATGGAGGGTCTGACCGGCCCGCGGGGGAAATGGCAGAAGCTCCCAGTGTTCAAGGCCTTCCTGGTCATTGCTCCACGGAGCCCTCTTGCTAACACGGATCAGGCTGTGCCGGGTTCATCCCGGCTCGCGGGGTGGATGTCTCCCACTTGAAGGTTTCTGAGAGCCCTCGGGCTTTGGGAAACCACAGGTCCGGAACCACAAAAAACACTCACTCCGTTTCCCCCCAGAAATGCATTTAATCTCCTCCTCCCTATCTAGCCCGCTCCTGCCCCCGCCCTAGGAGCAGCGCCGCCCCCAGGACTCCCCCGAGAGCTGAAAGGAAAGGGGACATTTCCGTGGGTGTGAGGCCAGGCCACTGCGCCGGTGCTGGCACGTCAGCTCCCCTCGAGGGGAGCGCGGACATGGCGAGGCCCAGGGTGACAGCCTTTCCTTTCCTTCCTTGGAAATCTCTGGCTGGACAAACAGGGTGAACTTCAGCAGCTTTGTCCTTCCAGGGACTTGGCCATAGACTGCCAGAGCCACGAGGTGACAGTGACCTGATTTGCCCTGGTCGCAGAAGAAAGCCCCAGCTCGTGCATTGGTGAAGTCAGGTCTGAGAGGACAAGAAATAACACAACTTGCCCCCGGGGCCGTTTCTTGTTTTATGAAACCCGGGCGATGGCACGTGGGCAGGAGCCCGGGCTGGGCCCGTCTGCGCGCTCCCGAGCCGCCCCCCCGCTTTGCCCGGCTGCTGGCTCCTGCCCTGCGCACGCACTGCACTGCACCTCGCCGGAGCTTTTAGCCAGGCTGCTGCTGTACCTGGTATCACATCCATTATTGATGTCTCTCCTTGTGTTGCAGTGCTTCTAGGATTGGAAAAGTCAGTTTGGAAACCGCTGACTTGACATGGCAGGACGCCCGGCTTAGCAGCGCCCTTCCCCGGGCGAGCGCCGGGAGCGGGGCAGAGAGGTGCGAGGGCGGGTCACCGCGCCCATGTGCCAGGGCTGGTTGAAGCCAAGGCGAGCGATTGGCCCCTGGGTCCCACGGGGACAAGGCCAGGCCCTGCACTTCACTCCTGATACCCAGACGTGACCAGCTGAGCCCCCGGACGGGGGCACGGGGGGTGCTCGCCCGCAGTGCTCGTGGGCAGGGTGTGAGGGCTGCGTGGGGCGGGGACGTGGCCCCACCAGGCTGTCTTGTCTCTCCCGGTTTTGGCAGGAGCTCTTGCGATGGCCGGGAAAGGTCAAGTCCCTTCGCCAGCCACCCCTCCCTGCGCTGAGGCCTCTGCTGCCGGCCTGGCCAGGACCCCCCAGCCCAAAGAGCATCGGAATGGGCATGTTCTGTTGCGTTCCCTTTTACTCCGCATTAAAAATACGAGCAACGCATGTATGGGGGGGGGGCGGGGGGAGCTTCAGGCGACACCTGCCTTCAAGCCCAGCCCCGATGCCTCCCTCCTTCCCATGGCCGGGCCCTGGCACTGGCATCTGAGCTCCGAAGTGCCTTGGACTGCCCGGGCTACTTTCCTCGGCTCCTTCCCGTGCAGCGCCTGCGCACAGCGCGCTCGTCCCGTCCCTGGCAGGCTGCTTGTAAGATGAGTGAAGAAGCAGGTGGGGGGAACGAGAGAGGGAGAGGGAGAGGGGGAGAGAGGGAGAGGGAAGCTCTGTCATTGAAAATAGCTCACTTTGACAGGAGCAAGCCAGAGAGACAACCCTGAATCTATGTCAGGGGCTGCCTACCTGCAAGGTGTGCAAAGATGATGGCCATGAACGCCAAGCAGCCGTTCACTATGCACGCCGCCCTCCAGGAGCCCAAGTACTCCAGCTTGCACTCCAGTTCAGAGGCGATGCGCAGAGTTTGCCTTCCAGCCCCGCAGGTATGTAGATTAAGCATAATTACTGCTTTAAGGCACATTTTTTGACAGGCCCTCGCTTAATGTTTTTTTCATGTCGCCAGAACAATCGCGGATCTCTGCACCTCTCTCCCCCTCTCCCCCTCTCCCCTCTCTCACTCTTGTCTCTGATCCACATGTCTAGTCAAGCAAAGCTTCTGCCTTCATATTAATTTTTATGACCTGAGCTTTGAGGAGGAATCTCTGTGCTTGGAAATGTTTTTTAATCCTGAGTTGACAGTATTCCCCACTGACTCCGATATGCGCATTCTTGCTTGCAGCTCCAGGGCAATATATTTGGAAGCTTTGATGAGAGTCTGCTGGCCCGTGCAGAAGCTCTGGCGGCTGTTGATATTGTCTCCCACGGCAAGAGCCATCCTTTCAAGCCCGACGCGACCTACCATACCATGAGCAGTGTCCCATGCACGTCTACCTCCTCCACAGTGCCCATCTCGCACCCCTCGGCCCTGACCTCGCACCCGCACCACGCCGTGCACCAAGGCTTGGATGGAGACCTCCTGGACCACATCTCCCCCTCGCTGAGCGTGAGCGGCATGGGGGCCCCCGACCACACGGTGATGCCCGCCCAGCTCCACCCGCACCACCTGGGCGCCATGGGGCACCTGCACCAAGCCATGGGCATGGGGCACCCCCACGCCGTCTCCACCCACAACGGCATGCCCTGCATCAGCGACGTGGAGTCGGATCCCAGGGAGCTGGAGGCTTTCGCCGAGAGGTTCAAGCAGCGGCGGATCAAGCTGGGGGTGACCCAGGCGGACGTGGGGGCGGCCCTGGCCAACCTCAAGATCCCGGGCGTGGGCTCGCTGAGCCAGAGCACGATCTGCCGCTTCGAGTCCCTCACCCTGTCCCACAACAACATGATCGCCCTGAAGCCCGTGCTGCAAGCCTGGCTGGAGGAGGCTGAAGCTGCCTACCGCGAGAAAAACGCCAAGCCCGAGCTGTTCAACGGCAGCGAGAGGAAGCGCAAGCGGACCTCCATCGCCGCCCCCGAGAAGCGCTCCCTGGAAGCCTACTTCGCCATCCAGCCCCGGCCCTCGTCCGAGAAGATCGCGGCCATCGCCGAGAAACTGGACCTGAAAAAAAACGTGGTGCGGGTTTGGTTCTGCAACCAGAGACAGAAACAGAAGCGCATGAAGTACTCGGCGGTGCACTGACTGCCCGGGCCGGGGCCGGGGCCGGGGCCGGGGCCGGGGCCGGGGCCGGGCTGGACTCGGCGGGAGCAGGGATCTCCGCCCCGCCCCAGCGGCCTCGCATCCAGAGGGCCCCCCGTGCTCCTCGTTTCTTGTTGACAGCAAAACTAACAAACAGAAAAAAGCAACCTCCAAAGACCCGCGTCTGGCCG